AAATATAAAATTTTTCCATTTCAGATTTTTTTCCATTCCCGTTGCGAAAGTGACTTTGAGAAATGAGTATTTGATATCAAAATTCTTCGTTGACTTAACGAAGAATCGGAGTGAGTAAGAAAAGTTTTTCGGGGGAGGAATATATCCAAAGCGGAGAAACTTGAGTCTCGAGTACGTTGTACGTTTCATTAGGTAGGCGAAACGACGTTCCTCGCTCGGTGTCGGATGCATTGATTTTCGTTTACCCGCCTCTCTCGTCCCGCCGTCGTCTCCTCGTCTCGACGGGTCCCTTCTGCCCGTGAACACCCCCCTAGGGGAGGGATGTTTCGTTATTTAAACAGATTAGCGATGCGGCGGTCCCGGGAGAGCATCTTATGTGTTTCCGATGCGATCCTCGTTCCAGAAAATTAATCCTTCTTGGAGTCTTGTCATCCAAAATATCCTTGTCAAATTTTTGTACAAAAAGTCCAAGTGCAATTCCTAAACGATATATTAGATTAGAAACTAATAAATTTCTTTCGTTTCAGTAGAATTTTTATTAAAGATCAAATAAAACTTTTTTATTTATTATTACTTAATATCTATCATTTATTACATCTCCTCCATCTGTATTGATTATCGTTATTTTTGTACTCAAATGCAGTGGCGACAATTATTGTTTCTCTCCCTCTTCTTCTTCATAACTTTTCAATTATAGAATTACGAGCTGCAACAACCTCGAGGCAATCGGGATACAAGTGGACGAAAACCGCCTAAAAACGGACGTGCAGATGATGCGGCGAATAATTATCCGATACTCTCAGGTATCCGAATTGACGGCGTCGAAAAGTGCTTCTTCCCTCGGCCCTTTAACGGTTTCCGTCAAGGTCTCCGCGGTTTGCAGCGCACGAAGTTTCGGCGAAACTACGTCGGGCATAAGAGGATCGTTCCCGGGCCAGAATCGGCTCTCGGAACCAATTCTCTAATACAAATTCATGAACGTCCTAGCGTTTACCCTCCATTAGAGGGAAGCGCAATCAAAACGGACTCCTCGATGGACGACGGCGGGATCCGGCCAGCTGTAAATCAAACTACGAAATTCCTCGTGTCTGCTCGCGCGGCGTGTTGGGAAGTGTTGAGCATGGACGAGAAGCCGTGCCCCGTCTCCTCTCGCCATCTCTCTCCCTCCCTCGCCCTCTCAATCGCTCTCACGACGCGCAAGGGTGTAATTATGTGTCCGTGGGTTCGAGCCAATCGCGAGAGGGCCTCTCGAAGACGCTCTTGGCGTGTCCGCGCGCTCGATCCCGCTTGTTCTCGCGCGTCGAAGATGTCTTCGTCCTCGTCCTCGATGGTCTCCCGTACGCGAGAGCACGCTTCTCCCGTCTCGGACCGAAATAACGTAAAATAAATTCTCTTCCGCTCGATTGCACTCGGATCGGTAGATAACTATGGTGCCCTATTATAGCCGGTAAATGACCTTCGACATCCTGTCCTTTCGCCCCGAAGGAAAAACTCTCCGCTGACATCACGAGGGGGTGTTCTTTCGATTCTAATTTTTATCCGCGCGAATGCGCTTCAGGAGGAAAAAGAGAGGCGCGAAAACACGGACGATGCCTCGCCGAGGCATCGAGGGGTCGAATTACCGAAGGATTTATCTTCGGTCGCGGACTTGGACGCCGCGCCGCCTGAAGTCACGTTGTCCCCCTCCCTCATAAGTTCAGCGCCGGGGTTCATCGTGACGCGCGTACACGGGACGATTCATCTCGTCCCGTCCGGACATTCTGATTACTGGTTTCATGCGCTCGTGCAAAAGAATCGAACCCCCTGCTGCCGTCTCATCGCAGCGCTCCGTTACGCGCTCCCTCGCTCTCCCGTTCCGTTTTTGCATTTAGTCTCTTCGCGGAAGCGTAAATTAACTTCTTTGAGATTTTTTGTTCGCTTCTCACTTAGATACGGCACTTAAGGCTATCGGGCGAGAGAAGCTCGGGCTCCTTGTGCGCCGCAACGCAGCGCCGGGGTAACAACGTCGGCTATTCTGACGCCCTTCACCGCCTGACGTTACAAAGTGTGTGTTTTACCTCGTGTGCATTGCGCGCTATTGTGTACCGCGGCGCGTATCTCCCCGATCTGCCTGTCAAAGTATTATTCTTAAAAATTCTCTCATTCCTGACACGGATACGTCGCGAAAGCTCGGTTTCGGACAATTTCGTCGAGAAACGCTGTGTCCAGAAACGCTCGTCTCATGATTATTAACGAGATATGCTTTAACGATCATTCAAATTTTCAAATAAAATTTCAGCGAGTTCAATTCTCGATGCCGACAGGTATGAAGAAACGTGCTTGTTTTATGGCGACGCCCCGGAAAGTACTGGGAATGACGGGCTTCGACGCTCTCGCCTCCCGCGAATTTGCGCTTCGTTTTTTTCCCCGACGTCCCCATTGGTTCGTGAGGTACGAACGTCTCTTCGGGGCGGACATGCCGGCTAAGAGCGTTTAGCATAATTCGAGGACGTTGCGTTGTGAGAGGGTCCCAGCGCCGCTCGCTCGTTCGCTTGCTTGCTGCTCGACAAAAATGCCTTGTTTTGCTCCGCTTAACTCTCCTCGTTAGCCGCGGTGACATCTTGACGAAAGGCCAGGCCGGAAAATAAGAACGGTGAAAACGGCCGCGAAGAATCCCGTGGGAGTCCCGTATTTTTCGCGCGAATGAGGCTTTAATTAAAATTAACGTCGCCGTGTTGCTGAAAAATATTACTCCCCTGATTCCGCAGACTGTTTCGTTGACAAAGAATTTGATGAAAAGCTTTTTTTATTTCTTTCCCGCGCGGTCGATTTTTTTTTAATTCGTTTAATTTACTCGCCCTTCGAGCTTTCATTGGAAAAACATTCGCCGAATTGAGCAACAGAAGCTTAATTGTCATTATTTTCTTCCGCGTAGTATATTTAATTATACTTGGCGCGAGACACTACCGTGTGTCTCTTGATAAGTTTTAACTATAAGAAGTATATATTTATTTTGTCTCCCGATTACAGGCAGCTGAACATGTTGCCAAAATTGCGAGAGAAAAGTTCCCCACTATGTATTCAACGAGAGATCTTTAAAATGACCATTAATTTTTATAGTTTATCGTTTATTATTTTCAATTTAGTGAATATCTGGAACAATACTCTGGAACAATACGTATAACGATACTTTATTACCGTTATAGCATGCCATTCGCGATAACATTCGTTGAGCTAAAAAGAGAAAAATTGGCCGTACACGAGCGGAGTGACACGAGTCATGAAGAGAGTCATGAAGAGACCGTTGCTTGTTGCAACTCTAATTAGAAGACCGCCGTTTCCGCCGACGAATTAAGTCTAATCGCCGTCGACAGGGAGATAGGCGAGGCGCGTTTCTCACGGAGGAGTGATAGGGAGAGGTCGGAAATAAAGACGCCAAAAGACGCGAAGGAGCGAGGGGGTGAAAGAGAGGGGCACGACCCTTCGGGCTTGAAAAAAAGTTGGAGAGCACGAAATTAGCCGTACTCGCGATGGAGGAGAGCGTTAGACGCGCCCCGGGGTCTCGGCCCCCGCTCTCGCGCGCAGTCCCGTTTTATTCGATAATTATGCAAATGCCGGAATGATTGTCGGGCAATATGTCCTCGGAATAAAAGTGCCGGGCCGGAGCAATTCGGTTATCTTTATGATTTTGGGTCGGTCGTCGTCGTAGGGTGGCGAAGGAGAGAGAAACACGGTGAAACCGGGAACCTAAATGGGGGGGGGGGAGAAGGGGGAGGGAAAGGCTCGTCAATCCTCGGCGACAAGAGTCAAGCCCTTCATTTGCATCGAGACATGGCCCTCTGGCTTCATCTCCTTACGCACGAATGCGACGACGCATTGTGATCAACATTGTTTCAACAGCGGTGAAATATGTACTTGAATTAATGCGTATTTGTATCGTTGTCCGATCGAATTATTATATTACAGAAAAGAGTAAAAAATATATAATAACATATAC